TTGTTTCAAAGTTGACATTGCAACAAAGCGATATAATATGTACTTAAGACACACACAAACTATTACATTTAAAATACTAATCTTACTTGAAAATTGTACAAGGTAGAAAGTCACTTATATTTACTGTTTTGTAGAAGTATTACTTTTTTTTTTATAACACTACAGATTCTGTCTGTGTCTTGACATGTTTGAGATTATTTATTCATCACATTCATGATACGTAGCTCTATAAAAAGAAAATAAACATAAATTAAGAGGTACAAAAGGAAGAAATCATGAAAATAATAAAGAAAACAAATTACCTTTGCTTATCCATATTTCGACGTGACAATCTTCGTCCATGTTCATGTGTAGTTAATGTGTATCGTTTTGTATGAGGACGATTTGCCCTGAGTTCGCGAACATCGGCAGTTTTAGCCTTCTCTACTTTTTGCATAAACTTATCGATGAGTTCAGGACAATTCAAGTTCTCTTCTGGTTCCCATGTATCATCTGCTTGTGAGAAACCTTTCCAACGAATTAAAAACTCTTTGGTCTTGTTTTTCTTAAAATGCACTTCTATAATTTTTTCAACTTCAAACTCTTTCTGGTCGTCTTTATCATTCTTTCCTTCGTTTGACATAATCTCTTTGTCTGAAATTTGTTAAAAAAAAAACAATTCAATCGATTCACGATAACTTTTAAGTATTCGTAGAAAAGAAAAATCTACCATTTTTTATTCCCTGCTGCTTTGCATTAACTTTAGGTTTCTTAGATTTTTTGTCCATTTTTGGAGATTTAGTTTTTCCTATTTTCGACTCTTCAGACTTCTTGGATTTGTCTTCCACATTCTCTAAATCCTCAGCCAAGAACTCTTCGATCAGCTCTGGACAATTCAAATCCTTCTCTTGTTCCCAAGTGTCTGAATTTTCATCATATCCCATCCACCTGACCAAAAATTGACGTCTGCTCTTAACCACACGTTGTCCAACAATTTTTTCTACCTATTCAACGAATATATATATTTTATGTTAAAAATTATAAAAATGATATGCCCCTGTAAATTATTAAATTCATTAAAACCTATTACTAAAAACAAAACTTTTATTTTTCAGTCTTATAAATAAATTAATAAATGTTTCAATAATGTTCATTACACGCGTATAGCTATTATCAGAGAAATGCTTGTTTTTTCAACGGTCGCATAAAGCATCATTGGTCTTTCGACGCGGTCTTCGGTTGCCGCGTAAAAAACACGTTAGAACGTACACATATATCGATAAGCGCGAAAGGCATGACAAACGAAAACAAACCTCGTATTCTTTCTTATCATTTCCATCCTGCTTTATTGAGGAGGACGCTCTAGAATCCTCTTTTTTCAGACGCTTATTCGCTCCACCCTTCCCGGTATTCTTGTTTTCATCTTCTTCGGTGACGTTTCCTTGAGAATCGTCTTCATCAGCTTTGGCGACGTTATCGTCGATTCCTTTCAGACTGTGCCTGCTGCGAGAGTTTCGCTTTTTGGTTGAACTTCTGCGCGGCGAGTCCGCGGTTTCTTCATCATCTTTGCCTTTCTTCATCTCAACACTATCGTTTGTCGTTAACCGACTGACGCCATTTTCTACCGAACCTTCCTCGCTGGTAGTTTCGGACTTCCTACGTTTACTCTTCATGCTCAACCTTCGCATGCTATTCCAGCCACCCACAAAATTCCACTTTTTCCTGCTAAAATCGTTTTAAACGATAATGCAAATCGTAAGACTTATTTGAATTGTTTGTAACCGCTTATCTTATAAATTGTTTCCCCTCGCAGTCCCGTAAACAGTCCGGAATGGCAAATTGCAATACAAACTTCTTGCGCAGACGTGTCGGAGTAGGAACTTCCAATATGTATAAACGCGGGATACGAGGATCACTGGTCTCACTCCCTCCACTCTTCACCAAGCGTCATATAATTCAAAATTTTTGCTTACACTTTAAACGCTGATTAAAACTTATCTTGCTCGCAGCAATTCTAAAATTTTATTTTTATTTCGTCGAACAATTTCGTGGCTGAAAGAATTATATTATAACGTCTTCTTTTTAACCGTTCTAAAACCTGGAATTTCCGGTAACGTATTTTGTATGTCATTTGGTTCCTGTGAATTTGAACATGGATAACGATGCATTTACTATTATTATTTAACATCTCAGAGAAGAAGTTGTGATTTATAGGCCGCTATATTTACAGAAGATTTGTTCTCTGAGGAAAAAATTTTCTATACAAAAGTTGCATAGTTTATAGGAGTACATTATGCAGCGCGTGCGTATTTTTTTTTTTCTAGGTGAAGGCGTCTCGGAGATTTTAAGGTCAACTTTCTTTTCTTAAATGAAACGCTAATATTTTTGATATCAAAATATATCGAATCCTGAATAAAAACTTATTGACCTAAACCTAGTGATTTCATTTCGTTCTTTGACAATTTTCTTCAGTTTTCGCTGATCTGCGGAAATCTGTGATAAAGTTGAATCTCCAACTTGATATTACGCGAAGAAAATTTTCAAAAAATAAAGCGTAACTACTAACGCTAACGGAAACGCTAACGGAAGTCAATGATTTTTTATTCAGAATTCGACATTCTTCCATGTTTTGCCATAAAAATATAGTACTCCATTTTGAAAAAAAGAAACAAATCTAAGAATTATTACATTACATACATATACCTTTATAAACCATCTAATTTTTATATACAAAACTTTTGAATACAACGCATATTTTGAAAGTTACAGAGGTGTGCAAGTTGCGTGAATCACCCTGTATTCGTATGGTACAGTAATGGGACCTACTCCTCCACGCTTTTCTTACTCCCTAAGCTGGTGCGCCATCCCCACGATTTTACTGGGCAACCAATCCGCAGTGGATCCTATCTCAGCAGTGAATTGTCAGCCAATTAGAGCAAAGAAATTTTCCATATTCAACCTCGCTAACGGATCAAACTGCAATCTGGAGGTGTGCAGCAGTAGGACCCATTACTGTTTGTATTAAATCTTTTGGTGCACAATAGTGTGCACCAAATATTTATTTAGTAGTACAAAATATATATTTTGTGAACCTTCCGAGATTTTCAATCCTCTAGCTCGTATATGTAACGCAAGAATTAAGGGTATAGCTGTTTCTGTAGTATCAGATAACGTTTACGTATCATTTAATCGCATAACGAAATTGATGAAATTATTGAAAAATATAAAATTAACAAGCAAAGACTGACCGGTCAATTTGTGGAAATAAATGAATATGTATCTTTTCCCTTATCTTCTTTCTTAGATGCGAATAGCCAATCGGCGATGTAACGTGTAAAACAACCGGGGATATTCAGATTATCATTTTGTTACATATTATTGTATTATTCACTTGTATTAACTATTGAATATCTTCAAGAGATATTTCTGCGTATTATTTAATATCAAGAATCACTATCTCTCGTTATTACTGGCACTTTACATAGATTAATTCAATATCGCGCGAATGAAATTTTACATTTCAAATTAATTTCAAACTAAAAAATAACAAAACATAAAAATATTCACACTTTATCTCAGCAAATTCTTTTTTTTATCTTACTTATTTACGTTGATCGCTTTATCACGTATGTAATAACTTTACCTACTTTATTGCGACCTACAAAAATATTGGGATACATTTGTAAGTATTGAAGTATTTTTATGTACAAGTGACCGAGATCTACAAAACGCATTTTTTAAATTTGTATTAATAGCTTCGTTATAAGATTGAAAAAACGTCAGTTAAAAATTTTTTTATTATCCCAATCAATTGCAATTTTCAAAAACAATTTTAGTCATAGACAAGTCCTATTAACTAAAAAAAATTCAAGTTGCTTATTGGTTCAATTTTAAGAAGATATTCCACTTTAAAAAGTTTTCCAATATTTTCGTAAACGACCGTATTTGGAAGCAATAGGATAAAAAAATACGTGATTTATTTTGTTAATTAACTATTAACAGTTAATTTTTATTGTATGCAGACGATAATTAAATAAATTGGAATAAACATTATTAAATCAATATTTAATTCAGTATGCATATACTATACGAGTTACTTTGGTTGCTTGGGTAACAGGCAGTAGTTGTGACAATCTCATTGTCACTGTCAGGACAGTATTTCTTCCGTACTTTTTTTTATACATAGTAATCGTCCGAATTAAATTTTTTGAGAATCATGGCTAACAGATCTGTGGTCACATATGAAAAACCACTTCCACATATCGGTAATTAATATTATCCATTTGCGGCATTGTCCGAAGTTAATATTTCATAAAATTTCAATTCCATAAAATAGGTTTAGCCGATTGGTATGCTAAACAATGGGACCTTCAGCAAAATGCAGATTTCAGAAGTGCAGAAGCATTTGCATTGAGAAATTCGGGGAAAATTATTCAATCGGATACAATGGTAAAGACTATATGGGATACATATATGAACAATGCTCGTCTTGCCGACAGGTAATTGATACCTTGGATTATACTTAAAAAATAGAATACGCAATTTTTTATATTCTTAGGGTAACAGAATTATCAAGATGGAGAGAAGTGCTTCAAAATCTCTTAGACAAATTGTTGTCGGAGACTCGTCTTCTGAAAGATGAGAAGGCTGATGCAGAGAAGGAACTAGAAATTATAAATTATCCTTTACAAGTAACAGCGCAATGTATTTCAATGAGAGACTGTCGTAGAGGAACAGAGCTTACATACGATGAAGCTGATACAGAATTGAAAAAGGAACTTTGTGTTATAGAGAATGTGAAACAATCATTGACTCAGAGGTATGATATTAACACTTAGCCAACCGAATGGAGAGATCTCCCCATTTTAAATTCAATCGATTGATGACCGATTAGGGAAATCTTCCACGTCTAATTAAAAATGACTGCTTAATTTTATTAAGATTTGTAAGAGGTACGACTGTTGAAGAAATAATCGATGCCATACAAGTTTGTTTTGTAATTTTTGTTTAATTGAATGAAATACTTTAATTTTAGAAAATTTTTGAGGTATCTGGCACGGTCGTGGAAGTGTTAATATATAGGAGACTATAAATATTTTGTATTGTATCTTTCATAGAATCCAAGCTGCATGGGAGAAACTAAATCGACTAGAGGAAGTTACATTTAAAATGGCATTAGAAGTCGAGGACAAGGATGAAACTATAAAAATAGATAAAGAAAACCTAAGTTTGGATCGTACATGTGCGAACATCAGTTATAAACCAAATGCGTTAAGAGTTCCAAAAGGGTAAGATTATGTGAATAATAAATAGTGACAATAAAGAATGTAATTCATCGATGCACTGAGTTAACCTCTATGCATGACAAAGTAAATATAATATAGTAGCATCGTTTTTGCAGTACAATATCTTATGAAACTTGGATGGAGCACTGTCAACACTCCAAAATGCTAGCCGACAACGAGTTGAACGACGTGTACAATTTCCGCGAGTCTATGAACGTTATGCGAGAACGCGCACGAAACGATGTAAAGGCTCAACAGGATGTAACAGATTTTAGTTTACGGAAACGAATATACCAGACACAGAAAGGTCGTAATGAACTGGAATGGCAAAAGCTTAAGGTACACGCGACAGTCACATTTACTTAGGAATAGGCTGACGATGAAGCAATTGATACAGAGGTACATCTAATTATAATTTACAGATACAAAAAGAAATGGAGATCATGCAGAAAGAAATTGTACGACTAGAGGATGCACTTTTACATAAGACTGACTCAATAAAATGCGCAGAAACAAGATTAGAGAATCGCACTTATCGTCCTGGCTTTGAACTCTGTCGCGACGAAGTAGACGGCGGTTTGAAAGATGAAGTTCTACAGTTGCGACAGACTGAAAAAGATTTGAAAAAAGTTATCCACGACTCCAAGTACGTGCACACATTTGCCAAAAGTTTTTAATACATCATACGATTGTTTTGGATTGAGCATTCGAAAAATGCATTAGATGGACACAACAACAGGATGGATATACAATAACCGTTTTCTTTCAGTTATTCTATTTTATATTTTGCTTTTTTTCTTCAGAGAAGCGTATAACAATCTCGAAAGTTTACTTCTAAAAATTGAAAGCAATCTGGATGACAAAGAACACTCGTTATCAACGGATGTGATGTGTTTAGACATGAGAGCCACATTGAAAACCGGGGATAGAACACGATTACCTAACGAAACGGACCGTAATATTGTTCTCACGCGGATGGAAAAGGAAATACCGCTTGAATCTGTATAATGTTTATGTACGCACACTGGTCAGAGTTCTGCTTGAACGTACAAAATGTTTTCGTTCATTGTGTCACTCACTGATATATTTGCCCTACACGTTTCACGGTATTTTGTCGATACTTACGTATCTATGTTTAAAGAATCTGGATCGGCTTTCATCAAACTGTATTCTGAAATAAAAGAATCCGTTAATCCCGGTTCTAATGTCTTTACAGCTCTTCTATGCAGGTCTCCAACTTTCGCTGGATCACCGTATTTCATTTCGAATTTAATGTAATCTATCCAAACGTTTGTGTTATTTTTGCCGAACTGTAATGTTGTCATATCATGGCATTTTCTGAAGCATTTCAACGACATTTCAGGTTGCATTAATTCTAGTTCTGCCATCTTTTTATGCATTTCGATGCTAAACGGTGGTTGTAGACAGAGCTCGTCGTAAACTTTCCGCGCCGCTTGTATGCCTACAACAAACATTAGATGTAACATAAAAGCACTAGCCATACTTTGATTACATGTACACACTTTTTGTTAGAACCAGCCATTCAAGGTAAGTTGGTTTTATTTCTTGAGCTACACTTGGGTGTCCTCGTAAAGCTGCTTGGAATACTTCCTCTGTTCTTTCAGGACATTTAGCTTGCATATGTAATATCTTCATTTTCCATAGAGGTAGTGATTTGTCTCCAAGGGTTTTAATTGCCTAATATATATGTTGTTATATATGCCAATTTGCAGATTTAATATGTACCTTACAGTACTTTATAAGAATACTATACCTTTGGAAAAATAGTTTCAGCTTCCTCTTCTAGTTCAGAAGCTAACAAATACCTCAGCCTAGCATGCCATAAACTTACACTATTTGGTATAGCTTCGGTAGCCATACACAAAATTTCTTTTACTTTTTTTTCTGTAGTTCCGTCTTTTTGCTCAGCATTTAACATATTAACCTTCAAAAGAGATCATTGTACTTTATATTATTAAGTATTATAACAAACAGTACTGAGAAATATTACTAACCCAATGCAAGTAATACTTTTCTTTCAATTTTTTTGCTTGGTGAGCTTGAGTAAATGCAATTTTTAATAATTTTTTTTTAAAATTGGGTAATGATCTATCTTTCTGATTAATTTCTAGTAGACATTCTATGTACAATGTCCACATTTCATCGGTTTTAATCCTTTTAAGTGCCGTCTGGTATACTTTATTGCAGGATGTTATACGATCTCTCAGCGAAATCTGTTCCGAACTATCAATTTCCATAACAGTATCATCCAGGGAAGGCTGAACAAGTCCTTCCAGTTCTCTTCTTGCCATTGTGTCCCACATTAGGGGTTCATGAGCATATTCTTGTATCATATTGCTGTAACAGGGATTTGTACGATGTACTTGGTTGCACCATCGATGCATTATTTTTCTTTGCCTACCTAATAATTTTATTTTGCAGCTTTTCTGTGTTACTGCGTTCCTTTGCAATGTTGAGCAATTCCACAATAAATTTAATATCCTTAATACATTTTGATGCTTGTTGATATACAATATTTGCTCTTTTTAATCCTGTAGACATGTCATCTTGTGTTACTGTATTAGCTGCTGGGTCATTAACAGTTTCATTCTTTTGATCATCGGATAATGCCTCGTCCAATTCTAATCTGAATCATATATATCTTTGATAAGAATTCATTTACAAACGTTAAGAAATTGAGAAAATTTAGATACGTCTACCTGAAAACATCCGTATATAATAATTGAGAAGTTGGGTGTATATGTAATCCTCTAAGCAGGAATTGACGAGCCGTCTGCTTGTTTTTATTTTCTTCTAGCTCCCATAAGGCAGCAATATGCCAACATTTTGGTTTATCTTGATGTACTTGCAACATTCTACCTAATATGTGACTAACGCTGTTTTGAAAATGCTGACAAATATCATATTCTTATTAACTCGTTAAAAAATAAATGGAATTGACAAATTGTTATTATTTGGAATGATACTTACAACATGCTTACAAAATTTTATATAAGCAATCCAAAAACGTATGTCATCTTGAAACTTAAATATTGCTTCTTTGTACAAATGATTCATTTTGTTCATAACGATGTGATCGATTTCTGATTTCATTTGTTGAATACCGAATTTCTAATAAAATAAAATTGATTATGATTTTCTTAAAATATGCTTGAAAAATATAAAATTCTTACCTCTCTACGTTGCTTGATCAATTTAAGAAGGTCCATTAAATATTGTATATATCGTAAATAGTCCTCTTTGCATTTGGAATGTCGCTGAATCTTGTATTCGTTTTCTTTGAATTTTTTTGCGATGCCCCTATAAAAATATCTGTGTTAATATTTTTAAGTACACAACATAGATGAACTGTATTGTAAGATAACCTCTCATAGTTACCGAATTTCACTTTTATCAAACAATTTGATCTTCTCCATTTGTTCTAATTCGGGGATTATATCCTCGCATCGTTTTTCTGCGAACTCCGCCATCGTTACTACTGTTTAATTATCGTAAATACAATTTAATAAATTAAAACTCGTCAGTGCAAATGTATCACCACACTCAACCACGTTCTCAGCACAAGATATAAAAGTGCAGTACAAGATACATATATCACTATTTCAAACGGCTAATACACAATTATTACATAAAAATGTAACATATACGCGTTCATTTATATAAAGTCACTTTATAAATATTTTTTGGAAACATTTCTGTCGCAGATATATATTCGTTTACATATCTTCTTACAAATGTATTAGGTTATCTTCGTTTAATCCAAACATCTCTTCATAGAGGGCTATCGCCGTGTCGAGCAGTTTCTCGCTGGTACTAAGCTGGCCGATTGAAATATTTCATCAGTGGGTTTAACAAGTGGGCGCAAACATACTCGAAAGGGGTATAAGTTGCATTCGTGGTCTATTAACATAACCTTGACAATTAGAGTCAAGGTTTTAAAATAACCCGATCATCTCTCTCATTGTTTTAAAATAACCTGAGATTTGATGTGTGTCATAAAATCATGTATTTATACATGATTGACGCGCTCTGGTTTGTTCGCTCTACTTCCAGATTAGAAAAAATCGTAAGGGTATTATCGTTAAACCCGTTTTTTGCATCTTTTTTTAAAGATAATGTTTGGTTATTCGCAATAGGAGCATAGTATTATACAGAAGAACTTGTTGTTTCGATATTATATTTAAAAAAAAGCAAATGGCAACGCTAAAAAAAAATAAATTGCCTTTTGAAGTCTGATTACCTATCACGTTAATTAATTATGTACTGCGGTATTGTTATCTATGTTTCTTACATGATACCGATGCAGAAAACTCTCATGAACAATTCTATGCACTCTGATTAAATGTTTTTTGCCCTATCAATTAGTGTTTTTCAGTGGCCCTGCATTCTGCATATACAGACGACGGCCACTCGAGTTAACGGCAAAATGTACAAACTGTAAGCCAAAATCGATGGTCGGTAATTTGGCTAGCAGTTCGAGCACAGACGAAGTATCATCTATGGTTATATCGCAGCAAACATATTTCGTGTGCCATTAAATTCGCTGTCGAGAATTGTTCAATCGATTTTGAATAGGCGACGAAGCAACAGTAAATCATGTCGCACTCTGCATTATCGACCATCGGTATCAAGAGCGAATCACCACGGCGGAACAGGGAATAGAGGTCGCGCGGCGTGAAATACAAGCGGATCCGCGTCTCCCCATCAATGGAGTTTACGTGGTTTATGACAGAGGCGTCACGGAATCGGAATCGTGGAAGCCCGTGCCGTGAGTGATAAAAGGCAAATGGCCGTCGCAGCGTACGAGAGCGGGTTACGCGTATGACGTTTTTTCTTCGCGGGTCAGTTGTTGACGGGCACGGCATGGTTTAGATGTGTCCCGCGGTGGTGTCGATCGTGTCTCGTGAAACAACGGATCCTGTCGTGATGTGAACGGAGCAAGGTGGGTAGGCGGAAGGCTCGAACGGTTGTTTCCGTGGCCGGCGATGGACGGTGAGAAGGCCAATAGTGCGGTGATGAAATCGGTGTCGGAGGGTGAGCTGGGCGTGGAAGAGGTTAAACCGTCCGAGGCGAAGACACGGGAGTCCATTTCGCGGCTGAAGCGTACTTTCACGTTGCCGCGGAATCCGTTTCAGAACGCGAAGATGTCACGGCGACGTCCGAAACAGAACCGCGACTCGAAAGACAACAGCGGCGGGACGAGCGGCAACAAGGACCGAAACAATATGCAGCAGCAAGTCGAGAGCATGCAGCAGCCCCATATGGGCAGACTGCACAGCAACGGGCAAACATACTCCGAGAAGAAAGTGTTCCGCAGGCCGTCCTGGAGGAAGTTCATCAACAGGATGGTTCAGCACATGTCCAACGTGGGCGCGCAAAACCATAAAACCTCCCATAGGGACGATCTAGGGTCCAGTGCCGGGGACATCAGGGTCCCTCCGCCTAGGCCCGCGCACATACCGCCGGACCGTGTGCCAGGGGTCATAGGTTTACGCAACCACGGTAACACGTGTTTCATGAACGCCGTGCTGCAGTGTCTCTCCCATACGGACATACTCGCCGAGTACTTCGTGCTGGACCAATACAAGGTCGATCTCTCCAGACGGAACAAATTGAACTCGAAGAAGTACGGGACTAAAGGCGAGATCACCGAACAGTTGGCCCTTCTGTTGAAGGCTATATGGAGCTGTCAGTACGATCCGGAGATGAGCACCGCGTTCAAGAGTGTCGTCGACAAGTACGGTAGCCAGTACCGCGGAAACTTGCAGCACGACGCTCAGGAGTTCTTGTTGTGGTTGTTGGACAAAGTCCACGAGGACCTGAATCAGGCTACCAAAAAGAAATATAAGATTATCAAGGTGAGTGCACGATGTGATCTCGTTCTATGATTCTACGATCGAACAAGTCGAGCGTTGCATTTTCGATCGGCGCGAGAAAGTTCGAATGCGCGAGACAGTTTGATCGTCGATTTATTATCGTTCGATGGCTTCGAACGTTACGAAAGAATTCGATTTTTTCAAAGTCGAAAATCGCAGCTCGAACTTCGTGTTCGCGTCTTCGGTTTCAATTTGAACCTTTCTCTCGAGTCGTGGATATTTTATTATCGCACTGCGTCTCGCAATCCGAAAGTAGGGGATTCCTGAGGTCATTTGAGGCAACTTTTTTCTTAGCGAAAATGCAATCCGCGGCTTCGTTTACGAGTTATTAACGAAAAACAGTGACCAATCAGAAGCGAGATCATTTGGCGCGAGACGGCCGAGCCAATCAGCGGAACCGGGCTTCGTGCACTCGTTGGCTGGGCCGCCGCGCGCCAGCTGAGCTCGCCTCGTATTGGTCAGTGTTTTTCGTTAATAACTCGTGAACGAAGCCTCGGAGAAAATTTTCGCAAAGGAAAAAGTTGCTTCGAACGACCTCAGGAACCTCCCATTTCCGGATTTCGAGACATTTTCGGGACACCCTGTATAATGCATCCCGTACAAGTTTAGGCATCCGAAATATTCTGGAATTTCGTATCGACGTTGATAGCGGCAAGGAAAAGTGCTAGTGCAACGTTTCGCGTGGTCTCCGTGTCAATGTTTGTGCATGCCTTTGCCCGCGCGCGCGATGCATGTATCGCCTCGTCTCGTCTCGTCTCGTCACTCGCGTTGCGTGCGACATGTGGCTGTGTGACGGACAGGTTTGTAATCGTTCCTGGCGATTGATTACATAATACGAATACTCATTAAGCAGTCGCCGGAGCACGTTTAAAAATGTTACTTGGAAATATGGAAATGAAATGTCTTCCTTCTCCTCTGACCGAGTCTCCGTCGAACCGAATAGAAGGAAAAGCGTGAAACTGTATCAGAAGATGTTTCGAATTGTTCTTATCGATGTTTCGCGCGGCAGTTCGTTGGAATCACGTCCGCGTAGGCTTCGAGTGGGTTTTATTTATTTTTTAGAAGCTCGGAGTCAGTCGATCGCGACGAGGCCTTAACCTAAATTTATTTCGCGTTCGGGTGTCACGTGTCGGACTTTTTGAACGTGGCCATCGGAACCCGGATAAATGTTCCGGTAACGTGTTAATTTTGGCGAAAAAATGAAAAGATTTTCGAGATGATCGAAATATCGGTGCTCCGCTAAACATTCTTTTTCTCTGAATTAGTGGCACACGGGCTCAGGAACGTGTAGAAGTTACAGAGAAAAAGAGACGCGATAAACTGTCAGCCCGACGAGGCATCTTTTAATTTATTTCCTGGGATAAATAATTTAACCCGTTGCTTTATTATGCTTACGAATGCTTACGAGGTCATCGTTCTATAAAAGAACAACAATTATTTCAAATACCAAGTAATTTTGTTCTTTTTTTTTGCAATTTGTTAGTTTTCAGAATTCATGATAATTTAGTGAGGTTGGACGAGCTGTTGTTAAAAATTTTAATTATTAAAAATAAAAAATAACATTCTCCCCGACGGGGAGTTGAACCCCAGTCTCCCGCCTGACAGGCGGGGATACTAACCGCTTTTCTTTTTTTTTTAATATAACATACGTTTATTATGCTAATAAAATATACATAAAGAGCGAGATAACAAAAAAAAAAGGTATAACAAAGATGTCCTTATAAAAACGTACAAAAATAAGGAAAACGTGGAGTGTAGAAGTTACATATAATAAAGACCAATGACTCCTAACCTGGAGTGCGCGTGGTCTGGTCTGTTATATTATTGTCAAGTATTATAAATTGAGATTTGGTCTGTCGTTTGGTATATTACATATAGAAAAATGGCGAGAAAAACTATATCGGATCGATCTTATGTAATTAGGGGGAAGCAGAGGAATGGGGATAGGGAGGTGAAGGAGGGGAGGATTAGAGAAGCTAATTTACATGTATTCATGTTGAAAACATAATTAAGAAGAAAAAAGAAAAAAAGAAAAAAAAATAATATTCTCCCCGACGGGGAATCGAACCCCGGTCTCCCGCGTGACAGGCGGGGATACTAACCACTTTTTTTTTTTGTAACAAGCGTTTATTGTGCCAAAATTACATACAATATTTACATGGGGTACAATAAACTTAAACGCTAAAAAAAGTATAACAAGTAAAAGGTATAATTTATAAACTAAAGGCCCAGACGTTCGGGCACGCACGGTTTAAACTTATGTTCACTATTATGGCACTTATTGCAGCTCTTATATAATTTGGCTAAGTTTGGTGTACTTAATTGCTAACGGTTGTATTTTTGTACAGAAAGGCACGGATGGGAAAAAAACTGTACAATCTTTGGTTTTATAGGTAGGGGTGGGGGGAAAGTTATTAGTTAATATCTATGTCTATACTTATATGCTAATTAAATATAGTTATTTGTTAATTGCGAATACTTACTCTACCTTGTAAATACTATACATTATTGCCCTTATGTCTATTTGCACGATGTTTGATTTTCGTATATCTAGGGATTATGCGTAGCTTATGTTTATATTAATGCTAAGTTCTTATTATTAGAGTAGTAATAGATAAGGATATAATACAGAAATAATATTAATAGTATGGCAAAATCCACTTACGAATAATAATATACAAGTAGTAAACTAGATAAAATAACATAATAGTTAACTCAGCTTTGGTAGGCAAATATAAAATTAAAAATTAAAAATAAAAATATAAAAATAAAAAAAAAAAAAAAAAATAATTCTCCCCGACGGGGAGTCGAACCCCGGTCTCCCGCGTGACAGGCGGTGATACTGACCTCTTTTTTTTTTTTTTGTAACAAGCGTTTATTGTGCCAAAATTACATACAATATTTACAGGGTACAATAAACTTAAACGCTAAAAAAAAGTATAACAAGTAAAAAGTATAATTTATAAACTAAAGGCCCAGACGTTCGGGCACGCACGGTTTAAACTTATGTTCACTATTATGGCACTTATTGCAGCTCTTATATAATTTGGCTAAGTTTGGTGTACTTAATTGCTAACGGTTGTATTTTTGTACAGAAAGGCACGGATGGGAAAAAAACTGTACAATCTTTGGTTTTATAGGTAGGGGTGGGGGGAAAGTTATTAGTTAATATCTATGTCTATACTTATATGCTAATTAAATATAGTTATTTGTTAATTGCGAATACTTACTCTACCTTGTAAATACTATACATTATTGCCCTTATGTCTATTTGCACGATGTTTGATTTTCGTATATCTAGGGATTATGCGTAGCTTATGTTTATATTAATGCTAAGTTCTTATTATTAGAGTAGTAATAGATAAGGATATAATACAGAAATAATATTAATAGTATGGCAAAATCCACTTACGAATAATAATACACAAGTAGTAAACTAGATAAAATAACATAATAGTTAACTCAGCTTTGGTAGGCAATTGTAAAATTAAAAATTAAAAATAAAAAGTAAAAATAGAAAAAAAAAAAAAAAATAATTCTCCCCGACGGGGAGTCGAACCCCGGTCTCCCGCGTGACAGGCGGGGATACTGACCGCTTTTTTTTGTAACAGAGCGTTTATTGTGCCACATTAAAAAAACAATATATACAGAGAGATACAATAAACTTAAACGATCAAAAAGAGTATAACAATATTGAAAGCTTAAAATACTAAACTAAAGGCTAGGAAATCCAGGCACGCACAGTTTGTCTACAGAATATTTACACGACACTTATTGTAATTAATGATAACTTCCATCGAGTATGGTTTTACTAGTACAATGATAAGACGTATATGTACAGAAAGGCACGAAGAAAATAAAACTGTACAGATCTTTGGTAAACGTATTTGGTTCGGAGGAGATAATTATCATAAGATAGTGACTATGTATAATTAATTCAGGCTAAATTAAGGACTAATGAGTAACTTAAGGATAACGCTGGCAGTTGCACTTACATCTACTTATAACTAGAGTTCGTTTGCTAAGGCTATAATTTTATTGCATGTGTTTATTGCAATGTATTAATGTAAATTACAAACTAGTATTGCGGAGCATATTGTGAAATTATAAGGTGGATGTGTTATGAGGAGGTGAAAGGATAAAAGATATTTTTATAACAAAAAATATACAAAAATATATATACTCCCCGACGGGGAATCGAACCCCGGTCTCCCGCGTGACAGGCGGGGATACTAACCACTTTTTTTTTTTTTTTTTTAAAAAGCGTTTATTGTGCCAAAATTACATACAATATTTACAGGGTACAATAAACTTAAACGCTAAAAAAAAGTATAACAAGTAAAAAGTATAATATATAAACTAAAGGCCCAGACGTTCGGGCACGCACGGTTTAAACTTATGTTCACTATTATGGCACTTATTGCAGCTCTTATATAATTTGGCTAAGTTTGGTGTACTTAATTGCTAACGGTTGTATTTTTGTACAGAAAGGCACGGATAGGAAAAAAACTGTACAATCTTTGGTTTTATAGGTAGGGGTGAGGGGAAAGTTATTAGTTAATATCTATGTCTATACTTATATGCTAATTAAATATAGTTATTTGTTAATTGCGAATACTTACTCTACCTTGTAAATACTATACATTATTGCCCTTATGTCTATTTGCACGATGTTTGATTTTCGTATATCTAGGGATTATGCGTAGCTTATGTTTATATTAATGCTAAGTTCTTATTATTAGAGTAGTAATAGATAAGGATATAATACAGAAATAATATTAATAGTATGGCAAAATCCACTTACGAATAATAATACACAAGTAGTAAAATAGATAAAATAACATAATAGTTAAATCAGCTTTGGTAGGCAATTCTAAAATTAAAAATTAAAAATAAAAATAGAAAATAAAAAATAATTCTCCCCGACGGGGAGTCGAACCCCGGTCTCCCGCGTGACAGGCGGGGATACTGACCGCTTTTTTTTTTTTTTTTTTAACAATGCGTTTATTGTGCCAACAAAAATACAATATATACAAAAGATACAATAAACTCAAACGCAGGAAAAAAAAGTGTAACAATATTGAAAACTTAAAATACTAAACTAAAGGCTAGGAAATCCAGGCACGCACAGTTTGTCTACAGAATATTTACACGACACTTATTGTAATTAATGATAACTTCCATCGAGTATGGTTTTACTAGTACAATGATAAG